ACACAAGGGTTCCTAAGGCAAAATTCTTTTATAATCTGTTTATTTCATTTGTTTATGAAATTAATTAAATGCATGTGTGTGTGTGTGTGTGTGTGTGTGTGTGTGTGTGTGTGTGTAACAGGCATCCCTGTTATAGAATGAACCATCCTTTGCTCTTCAGTACAAAGATGGTGCATATCATTTAATAACTAGTCTACTAAATGAATAAGTTTTAATTTTTAAAAAAATATCTTTATGCATCTAATTTTTTTTGCCTCATCAAAAGTTTCCATGAACTCTTGAAACCAATCTGTAAGACTTCATTTGACCTAATGAATGTTTTCATTCAATATGGATTTCTTTTTCTTCCTATTTGGCTTTTTATGTGATTTAGGAATTATTTACTGTTTGAGGAGCAGCCATTGTGCAGAAATATGTTCTATTATTGATTTAATTAAAAAAAAACATTTCAATTAATCAAATGCAGCAAGATTGATCCTGGTTCTTATTAAAATTGTACAATTTTAGAAGCTATCCAGAAGGCATAGACAAGATTGCCATCAGCATGCTGAGAATTCAGTTGGATATTAGTTATGTGAAACAATATTTATATCTAGATATTTTTGTAGAATCAAATACATTAGTGGATTCTGGCACTGGCAGTTCTCATGAACCCGCCTCTCTCTCTCTCTCTCTCTCTCTCTCTCTCTCTCTCTCTCTCTCTCTCTCTCTCTCTCTCTCTCTCTCTCTCTCTCTGTGTGTGTGTGTGTGTGTGTGTGTGTGTGAAAACTTAGATAATATATTTGTGGATGTCTCCCTCTAATGGTGAGTCTCTTTTCAATAGATATACTGCCATGTTGACAGTTTTAAGTATGACAAAGTGTTTTTCTTACTACTACAGTAGCATATAACTTTCAGAAGAATTCTTCAGCTACTAAGTGCCTGAAGGCAGGACAAGAAGCAATCGATGGAAACTAATCAAAGAGAGAAGCAACCTAGAACTAAGGGGAAACTTCCTGATAGTTAGAACAATTAACCAGTGGAACAACCTGCCTCCAGAAGCGGTGAATGCTCCAACACTGGAAGTTTTTTAGAAGAGACTGGACAGCCATTTGTCTGAAATGATATAAGGTTTCCTGCCTGAGCAGGGGGTTGGACTAGATGACCTCCAAGGTCCCTTCCAACTTTGTTATTATTATTATGTATATGGGATATCCATGCATTAGAAGCAGTAATTTATTAAAAAAACAAATTACGTATAATACATACCCTAGAGCAAGTTCATAAGATGTGACTTGCAGTGAGTAGTTGCCTGTTAAATTGGATGTCTCATTAAATTTAAGTTAGTACATCACGTGAATTGGCAGGATGCGTGGCTATTGTAACATCACCAGGATTTTCCAAGATCACTGGGAAGTGGCTCATGCAGTTCTACGTCTAGTGGCAGAGTGGCTGAAAGACAGAGCAATATATCTGGAATTCCTCCATTCATCTCTTAACTTGTCTGTGAACTCTCACTAGAACAGTGGTTCTCAACCTGTGGGTCGGGACCCCATTTGGGGTCGAACGACCATTTCACGGGGGTCGCCAAACAATGCAGTCCGCCATTTTTTTCCCCCTTTTCCTTAGCTGTTCTACTCCCTTTTATTCTATTGGCTTTTGAAAGCCAATAGAATAGACTCTCTTGAATAGAGTCTAATTCTATTGGCTTTCAAAAGCCAATAGGAATTGTCCAGGCTGTCTCTGCCCTGCTGAGCCTGCCAAAAGTCCCATTCTGCAAACAGTGCTGCACCAGTTGAGTAGTCCTCGACTTACGACCGGTTGGGGGGTTGCGGCATTAAAAAGGTTGAGAACCACTGTACTAGAAGGTCTTTGACAAGAACAACAGCTGTCCTCATGGAGACTTTGTTAGATTGTTGCTGCCAGTCGACTTTGCTGGATCAATGGCAATTCAAAAAAGTTGCCCACCTTCCTTGAATCCATCCCATCTTCCCTTAGTCAAAGAAATATTTTGAAATGAAAAATCCTAGAAAACTGAAAAGACCATCTTATAACTTGGAAGGGGATTTTGGAGCTTCAGAATAGGATGATTTGATACAGATCAGCCCAGAGATCACATGTTCTAGTTTTACACACAAATCAGGAACAAAATGTAAAATCCAAATCAACCAAACACTAAACTTTATTTTTTGGCACCCTAGCATGGGGGGAATGCACATAGCTATAAATTTTCTTTTTTTAGCAGGATGGGATGACATTTGCAAGCAAGCCTGGCATTTTATAAGCTAAATGGGAGGAAGGATTTTCTGAATATGCTCCTTTTAAATGTAATGTTGTGGTTCCTGAAACCTGGATGTTTGAGAACAGACTACAATGGAATTTGCAGAGATAGTTCACTTTGTGATGGTTTCAAGAAAAATAATGGTTCATTAAAATGTCATAATTCTCTGAGTATGAGAATGTTGTTTGTCACAGGATGGGCAGAAATATAACAGATTAATTGATTGATCAAGTATCTTTTCCTGGTGCTAGAACCAGTGGTGGGATTCAGCCGTTTCGCACCACTTCGGCAGAACTGGTAGCTAATTTTTTGTTGCCCAGGCCCAGAATGGACTTCCAGAAGCAGCATCCACACAAGAACCGGTTGTTCACGTATTTGAATCCCACCACTGACTAGAACCAGATATATTTGCATGAGGAACTCATTGGACTTGATGCTTCCTTCCTTCCTTCCTTCCTTCCTTCCTTCCTTCCTTCCTTCCTTCCTTCCTTCCTTCCTTCCTTCCTTCCTTCCTTCCTTCCCTCCCTCCCTCCCTCCCTCCCTCCCTCTCTCTCTCTTTTCTGTCTTAACCTATTAATTTTTTCATCCTCATCTGAATGTTTCAAAGTTCATCTATTTTCAGGTATTCACGAATTATACACTCTTTTGACTATTCTATGAATCTGCCACTCAGCAACAAAATTATTTTTAACAAAGAGGTTGGATCCCATTTTGGGGAGATGACCTTTATGTAGCCTAAGCTTCTTCCATCTTCCAGTTTTGCAATCTGTTAGACCTAATTGGACTTTGGCATCCCATAGAGCAGGGCTTTTCAACCAGTGGTATGGGTAGCACCTGTGGTACATTGGCACCTGGCAGGTGGTACCCGACCATCCTAGAAAAGTAGTGGTGGGGGAGGGGAATGAGCTGAACCGGTGGCAGCACCGCACAAGCCTGAGTGACAGATGGCTGGAGCTGCAGGGCTATCAGGGCTCAGTGGAAGCGCCAGGATTCGTGCCATGCTCCAGCTGGAGCTCGGCACTGATCCTGGTACTTCTGCTGAGCCCTGAAGAAGCACCAATCAGCTGGAATGTTGCAGCATCTCCAGGGTCTTGTGATTTATGTTCAGATGCTTAGCAACTGATTCATATTTATGACGGTCACAGTGTCATGTGAAGTGACCAAAATCTGCTGCAACCACCCAGCAGATGGGGGGAATAAAAACCAAACACCCCACCCCACCCCTGCTGCCAATCCTCAACAGAAATGCTCACAACAATGAAAACCTCGGACAGGAGAAAGAGCGCCACTGAGTGGGCAGGCAGGTATCTTGCTCGGCTGTGGCTTGGGGGGCACTTTTTTCAGTGCCATTGTAACTTTGAACAGTCAGTAAACGAACTGTTGTAAGTTGAGGACTATTTGTACTTTATCACTTTTTTCCTTTTTGGGGGGGGGGTCCTCAAGTTTTTGACACCTTGCTAGGCAACTGGTGGTACTCAGATATTGCCATATCCTAAAAGTGGTACAATGGGTGAAAAGATTGAAAAGCCCTACCATAGAGCCCAATAAAATAATTTTAAAGCTTGAAATAAATGTTTACATGCTTTCTAGTAGAACAATCAGGCCAATAGAAGAGAGATCCTGTAATAGATTACATGTTTATCCAGACATAATTGTTTCCAGTTATTACAAAGAAATGACTGAATACTAGATAATCACATAATAATATCTCTATTACTACGAGCTCATTGTAGTAATATGAACTCATTTTGTTCTTCCTTTTCTTTTTTTCATTTTGAAGTAAATATACATATGACTTATTCGCATATGCCTCTTTATACCACCACAATAAGCATGAAGAAAACGAATAATACTTAATCACGTGCATTGTTAATTAGCTTTAGCAACTATTGGTGTTAATAACCTTTGTCCTAATTCTCTGGAACAAAATGTTTTGAGTGTGCAATCCAGCTGAATAAAAGCCAGAGGTAATTAAAAGCAGGAGAGTATGTACTCCCCATGTTTTGAACACGAAATGCATTCCACCAAACACATTAGGTTGGAATCAATTCTGTGACATGTAGCGGAGGACATTGTGAGCATAGTGAGCATCCTAATTCTACAGTGGGCAGTATATAAGCGTATATACCCTTAGTTCTTCATTCTTTCTTCTAGGCAGATTGGAAAAACCCAGCAAGAGATTGCTGTGAGATGTCCAGAGCAGCCCTTCTTACCTATCCTGTCATGACATTTAACTTGAGAACTGGGGAATGAAAACAACAAGAAATTTCTTATAATTTTTAATATGCTGTCTAATTGCTATCTTAGAAGGCAATGCATTTTGCAATTTAAACATTGCAAAACAATTTTTTTTTTGCAATTTATATTTTCATGTGGTTCCCTTTTCTTTATTCCACTAAAAAGATCTCATGCGTGATGGAATTCTTTGCCCAAGGGTAGGTGCTCCTACCCATATCATTTTGTCTTGTAAATCTTCCAAACCTCCATAAATGGCTTTTTTTCCCCCTTCAGAATTGAAAAAGCTTCTTGGATGAGAAGCAAAACTTTTTCAAGGGGAAAAAAACCCAAGAACATCCAGTTGCCTTTTGAAAAACATCTTTGGGACAATCATGACTTGGATGATTAAAAATCTCCATAGACTTTTTTTTTTTTACTCTTCTTAACTTGAAAAGTCATTTTAAATTGTAATGGAATCACAATATAATGTCAGAAATACAGGTTCAAAAGATTTCACCCCCCTATACTTTGGTTTCTCTTCAGATTGTATAAATCTTTCGCCTTTTACTAAAGATTTCCGTGGAGAGGAACATTTATGAGTTTTGTAAGCTTTTTGGATTAAGATTTGGTGGAACATTCAAAAGATTTTTAAAAGAAAGATAAAGTTCACACCACAACTATTTTTGTTGGGTGTTATTGTAGATTGTGATGCTAAAGAAACTATTTTGATGTTGAATTTTATAACAGCTGCAAGGTTATTAGTAGGGTAATATTGGAAGAAAGATTATTTGCCTACTATAGAAGATTGGACGCTTAAAGTGTCAAATTTAGAGAAATGGCAAAAATTTCTGCTTTCTTGAAGGATCACTCACAAGAAAGATATATTTCGGTTTGGAGAAGATGGATAGATTATATTCAGAATAAATATGGGATTAAAAAGTTTCATTTAGCCTATGAGTAAACTTTAGAGCAGCGGTTCTCAACCTATGGGTCGCGACCCCATTTGGGGTCGATCGACCATTTTACGGGGGTCGCCAAAGAAGGCGCTCCGCCATTTTCCCCCCTCAGGGGGTGCCGCGCATGGGGGCGACGCCGTGCATGGGTGCCGCGCATGGGGGCCGTTTGCGCAGTACGTTGAGCAAACAGGTGCTGTGCATGGGGGCCGCGCATGCGCAGTACATTTGTGTGACGGGGGGCGCCGTCACACAAACGTTGAGAACCACTGCTTTAGAGTATTATTAATAGTTTCTTTTTTAATTTTTATTAGTTTTAATATGGTTTAACAATATTGATTTGTTTATATTATTATGTTCATTTTTAAGTTCTTTATATTTATGTTATGAGGGAGTTAAACTGCTTTGTGGACTTGGTTACTTGTATAGTTGGGTAATTTTTTTTTAGAGTTTGATTGTTTATTTGTAACCCTGTAATCAGCTCTGGGAAGTGGGGTAGGGGGAGGGGTGGATGGGTCTTGTATATTGTATAAAACTTTTCAATAATAAAAAAAAAGATTTCACCCTGGCCCTTTGCAAGGATGACTGACACTCCTTTCTTCTTTTTGTTCTCCTCCTTTTGTTTCTTTGCCATTGTTGTTACGTTTTGTGCTGTTTTGTGTGTGTGTGTGGTTTTGTGGTATTGATTTTTGTTCTTAAATCTTTTTAAACTCGTAAACTCTCTAGAGTCACTGGGAGTCAGGCTGCATTAATATAATATGGTTGGTTGCACACTCATCCAGATGTTTTGACTGGATTCGGCATTTTTATCCATCTATTGAGTCCATCCTAAGGACCTGGCATAAGCAGATGTTGTTATTCATTGGTATTAAAGGTATCATTGCAGATTGTAAGCTGTTGCAAGTAAAGCTGCTTTTGCAATTGACTAAGGGTGCTTTTGTCAATGCCAATGATGTTCAAGTGGTGCTCCAGATGTTTTGGGAATATTATTATTATTTGGCAATCAACTGTTTTTAAGGGGATTTTGATGTAGGAAATGTTTATGGCATGGATTTGATGTCATTCCTACATCAGCAGTTACCCTTGTGCTCAGTGGTCCTCTTCAGACAGTAGAACTCATTTTTTTCCAGCTCTGCTGCAGCTCAGCAAAAAAAGAAAAGAAAAGGCAAAATTTCTGGCTTCTGATTTGAGACACTGAATGTCTGTAAAACTAAGAATTAAGTGTTTGTCAATACAATATTTATTCCATCAATGGCTAGCAAAATTTTTAAAAAGAGAACAAACAAAAATGGGATGAAGTAAATAAATACGATAAAATACTAACAACTAGCAAAATAAATAACAGAATATAATATCTACTCTTCTATTACCTTACTGTTATTTACCCAGGTGATAAATCTGATACATCAATAGGGATAAAATAAAAATTATACATCCCCTACAGTTAATAGTTAAGATGCAACAAACCATGTAGTATGTCTAGTCAGTTTCGCAACAGGCCCCAATATGTGCGAGTTGGAATAAATACCTCTAATACCATTTTCTTGAGCACAGGTTCTCCTCAGAGCTGTGTCTTAAGTTCGCTGCTGTTCACCCGGTTGACCCATGACTATTGTGCTAGGTTTGCCACCAACCATATTGTGAAGTTTGCAGATGATACAACAGTAGTGAGCCTTATTTAGGATGACAAGGTGGAAGCTTACCACAAGGAGGTTGAAGGGTTGGTGAACTGGGGAAAGAAAACAGCCTAGTTTTAAATACCGGAAAAACCAAAAAGATCATTGTTGATTTCAGAAAAGGCAGGCACAGCCACACTTCTCTGTGCATAAATGATTCACCTGTGGAGATGGTTACCAGCATCAAATTCCTGGGTGTGCAGCTAACAAATAGGCTAACTTGGTTGCTCAACAGTGAGAAACTGGTGAAGCGGGCACAGCAGCGCCTGCATTTTCTGCGCTGCATGAGAAAAGCACATCTTCCTTCCCCTGTCCTGACCATTTTCTACAGGGGGACAATTGAGAGCATCCTGTCATACAGCATCATAGTCTGGTTTGGAGGCATCACTGCTTCAGACAGGAAGGTGGTGCAGAGAGTGGTGAGAATGGCCGAAAAGATCATTCCCTCCCTCCCATCCAGGACATAGCATACAAGCACTGCTTGAGCAGGGTCCGTAAGATTATCTGGGACACTACACATCCTCTTCACGACCTGTTTTCCTTGTTACCTTCTGGGAGGAGGCTTCATGGTATCCGAAGCAGAACATCCAGATTCAGCCAGAGTTTCATTCCATACAGCATTAACCTTGTGAACTCTCAAGCTTCCTCCTTCTATTATATATTCAAGATGGACAATATTTAATACTTATTTGCTACGTATATGTAGGGATGTGGGTCTATACATATGTTGTTCATAGTATGTTTAGGTGTATGTCATGTATGTGTTTCACTTTGAGAGCGGGCAACTAAATTTCATTTTTGATGTGTGCCATTGTGCCCACAGTATAAAAATGACAATAAAGATTATCTTATCTTATCTTACCTTATCTTATCTTATCTTATCTTATCTTAATCTTATCATCTTATCTTATCTTATGGTCAGATGTCTCCCAGGTGCTACTGCCAGTAGGGACAAGAAGTGTATTTCTAAAATAATTAAGAATACCAGCAAGGACTGTGATGTAGAGGCTATTGTACATCTTGGCACTAACGATCTGTCCCAAAAAGATGTACTGTCTGTGCAGAATGATTTCCAGAGCTTGGGGCAGGAACATAGCAAAATAGGCTGTAGGCTAACTTTTTCAGAGGTTTTACCAGTGTATAAAGAGCAAAATGGAAAAGGCCAGCGTATAGCACAATTCAATATGTGGCTAAAGAAGTGGTGTAGAGGGGAAAGTTTTGGATATATTAGTCACGATGTCAGTAGTTGGTCCCATGAAAAAATGTACAAAAGAGATGTTTTGCACCCATCAAAGAAAGGGACTGAATTACTCGGCTATAAATTCACAGATTTTCTGGAGGAATATTTAAACTAAACAGCAGAGACAGTGAGTTAATCAATACAGAGCATCCCTGTCCCCGGCAATCTAAAAACAATAGGGCTATCAGTGCATGTAACATAGATATGTGTGTAGACAAAAATACCAACCTTGCTGTCAAGCAAAATCAAGCTTTTAATAATGAGTGCCACACAAAGTGCACTAACCAAATAGGTGGTAAGACAATAGGGGAACTCAGGCACCACACAGGTTATATAGAAAGTAAACACAGGGTTGGTCATAAAGGACTCAAATGTCTATACACCAATGCACAGAGTATGAACAGCAAACAGGGTGAACTATAAACTCAGATCAATGAGGGCAGATATGATATTGTTGCCATTAGAGAAACATGGTGGGATGAAACCCACAAATGAAACCCACAGCTAGAGAGATTTAAATTATTTAAAAGAAACAGACCAAATAAAAGAGGAGGTGGAGTTGCTCTCTATATAAAAAATAACTACATCTCCACAGAAATAGAGCACAACAATGATGAAAATTGTCTTGAATGCATTTGGGTCAATATAAATGGGAGAAAAAATGACATTGCCATAGGTGTATACTATAGGCCACCCAACCAAACAGAGGAAATAGATGAACTTTTTGCTAGTCAACTAACTAAGGTATGTAGGAAGCACATCACCATAGTAATGGGGGACTTTAATTACCCTGACATCAACTGGGAGACAAACTCTGCACCAAGTGGAAGATCAAACAGATTCCTGACAATTTTGTTTCCCAAAAAGTAGAGAAGGGAACTAGGGGATTAGCCATTTTGGATCTAATTATCATGAGCAGAAATGAAATGATAGAAGGTGTTGAAGACACAGGAACCTTGGGAGGTAGTGATCATGCAATATTGGAATTCAACATTATGGAAGCACAAGCAATTGAACATAGTCAAACTAGAGTCTTGGACTTCAAGAGAGCTAATTTCAATAAACTTAGAGAGGGCTTGGGAAGGATTCCATGAATGAGAATCCTCCATGGGAAAACAACGTAAGAAGTTTGGGAAATTTTGAAAAGCAAGATAATAGAAGCCCAGTCTAGCTCAATACCAACAAAGGGAAAAATAACAGCTCTCAAAAGAAACCAGCATGGCTGCATAAAGAACTCTCTGACAAATTGAAAGATAAAAAAGACAAGTATAGAAAGTGGAAAGAGGGGCACATAACTAAATCAGAATATCAACAAATAGCCCGAGCCTGCAAAGATGAAGTGAGGAAAGCCAAGGCTCAAAATGAACTAAGGCTTGCAACCAAAGTCAAAAATAACAACAAAAAAAGCTTCTTTCAACATGTAAAAAACAAGAAAAAAGTGAAGGAAATGATTGGTCCATTAGTGGGTGAAAGTGGTAAGAAGGTGACTAGCAATAGGGAGAAAGCAGAACTATTTAACTCATTTTTGCATCTGTCTTTACACAAAACATAAGTTAAGATAGGCAAGAAAATAATAAGTGAGCACCTGTCCAGCCTAGACGAGTTCAAATCACCAGGACCAGATGGATTACACCCCAAGGTTCTCAAGGAACTGGCAGATGTGATCTCAGAACCACTGAACTATATTTTTCAAAGCTCTTGGAACACTGGGGAACTACCAGAGGACTGGAAAAGAGCTGATGTAGTTCCCATCTTCAAAAAAGGAAAAAA